ATGTCCATATCTTACTGAAATGAGTTTTTATACTTACAAAAGCATACTCATAAAATTTAAAACTACTTGCTAACTTAATAGAAATTCACTACTCCTGGAGAATGCTAATTGAAACTCAGTAATTTGAAATTCAGAATGAAAGCTCATATCTGTCAAATCCATTTCCTTGCTTTTCACCACATTCATAGCCTCATCATTTAAATTCATTTTGGAGCATAAACACACTCAATCTACTCCTAAATTACGGCTGGTTTTCCACTCGAGTATGAACACAAGTGATAAGCAGGTAGGCAGTGCGTACTCTATGTGCAATGTGAAGGCTTCCAAAGTCCCACGAAAGACACAGTTTTTCAAGATACACTTGACCAAAGGTTAACCTTGTTCTACCTGTCTGTCATCCATCAGCAACAACGTAATTCACATTTGGGCAACATATTTCAATAACTGAAAATATAAACCATTAATATTTTCAAACAACATATTCTGAGGAATTATCATTGTAGTCCAAAAGTAATTTCAAATTATTTAATAAGAACACAGCTTCTTTGGCAATTAATTTACCCTGTGCCCTTCTAACCTCCTGTAAATTAGAATTTCACATGTAATGGCTATGTAAGTCTCAATAGAACTTCAACATTTTATATTCAGATTATAGCAAAGTAACCATCAAATTGCTCTCATTATCTTTAGCTCTTTAGTATAATTCAGTCCAAATTACTTACACAAAACATTCCTTTTCTAGGGTACCAAGACGATTGCTTAACTCTTTTTTCCAGTAAGTTCCAAGTCCTCTTTGTAGCAAGGGCTGCACTCAACTTTCTGACTATGATCTGTTAGATCGTATTTCCTTAAAAATCAGTCTGGTGCCTCAATCAGGTTTGGACCGCATTATAACACAGGGTTCATGCTGGTTCCCAATGTCCCCATCAGACCCCTTCCTTTTTCTCACCCACTGTCCAAATACTGACATTCTCACTGTGTGTCTTCTCCATAACCCCTCAATTGCTCCTGGATTTATAGTCAGTAACAGGAGATCTTACTTTATTCCTAGCTGGCTCATTGTTAAGAAATTGTCATTAGTTTTATATAGTCCACCAGATCATAAGCTTACCAGGGCACAAATCAAGGTTTTATTTTGTTACTCTCATCTGTAGAATACAATACGGTGACAGGCCCTTCACAAATATTTCATTAAGTATACACATATGAAATATGCTCTAAATATCTAATTCTTTTCAAGTATTAATTTTTTATCTTTGTAATAGTGGGACCATTTCCCAGTAATAGTGAGAAAAGTACCTTTCAGACAAATTTTATTTTATTTTTTTATTTTTTAATTTTATTTAGTTATTTTTCAAGTACAGTTTTTGTCTATTTTTCCCATCCCAGCCTCCCCCGCCCCTTGCTCCCCACCTCCCTCCCATTTCCACCCCCCTTAGTTCTCGTCCCTGTGTCCTTCCTATTTGTTCCTCCAAATTCCTCCCCCTTTTTCCCCTTAACTTCCCTTCCTTCTCCCCTCTGGTCACTATCCCCTTGTTCTCTATTTCAGTGTCTTTGTTTTTTTTTTTTTCTGCTTGCTTGTTTGTTTTGTTGTTTAGCTTCCCTGTTAAAGGTGAGATCATATGGTATTTGTCTTTCAGCACCTGGCCTATTTCACTCAGCATAATGCTTTCCAGTTCCATCCATGTTGTTGCAAATTTTAGATGCATTCTTTGTGTAATACTGACTAGAGCCCTAATACTAATGATATCTTGGTTTCATTTAGAGAAGTAATTTATATTCAAGTTTCTTTCATCTACTTATATGTTTTAAAACACATAGTCAATACTTGCTTTTACTGAATCACTAGTTTTTATTTATTATGCTTTAAAACTAGGTGTCAATTTTGTTCAGGAAAAACTAAGCCAGGGGCTTCCTTGGACAAACTAGTAAGATCTGCTTTGAACTGATTCACTGTCCACTTTCACATGAGCAGCTTTCTGCAAGAACTGCACAAGCCCTGGCAGTTGGCCCCCAGTACTTCTCAGGAAGCCTTCTGTCTCCCCCGCAACCCCAAATGCCTTTGGTCCCCAAGGCTCACGTTTCCTTTGTCTGAATTCCATCTAATTAGGATGACTACACCATAACAATTAATTTAAATACAAACAGCCTTGTGTTGATCTCTATCTGCTTGATATAAATTTTGTGCTCTCATATGGTATTTGTCCCTTAAGCCTTAGCTTATTTCACTTAGCATAATGCTTCCCAGATATGATCTCACCTTTAAGGGGAACCTAATTAACATAACAAAAGAGTGAACAAAATATAACCAGAACCACTGAAATTAAGAACAAACTGACAGTGACCAGAAGGGAGATGGCAGGGGATAATGGGGGGCAGGGGGAAAGGGTTTTCGGGAACATCTATAAAGGACATATGGATAAAACCAAGGGGGTGGGATCAGGGGAGGGAGGTGGGGATGCTGGGATTGTGGGGGGTAGGGAGTGGAGGGGGATAAATGAAGACAACTGTACTTGAACAACAATAAAATAATTTAAAAAATGAAAATTACAAAAAAAATGCTGTGCTCTCTGATAACACTCCAGGACAAGGACTCTGCCCCTTCACAATGATTACCACAGCGCTGGGCATTTAGTAAAAATGTTATGAAGACTCTTGGACTTCGTTCTTTGACAAGTTCTAAGTCTCACAATCACACACACACTCACTTTCACACATACACACAAAATAACTATAGGTAAAAATTCACCACCAATGCTCTTATGCAAAAAAGAGATTTTTTCAAGTCAGAATGCACCACTTCAGATGCCTCTTACCCGAAAAAATAAAAAAGTGGTTTTCCTTCCCCAGAATACCTTAAAAACTCTGGCAAAGAAGTCAAATCTCACATGCTCCAATTCTTTCTCCTTCCCTTCATTTTATCCATCTATCCATTCATTCATTCAGTGCATGTGTAGTAACCACCCAATGTGCAAGGCGGAGGCAGGTGCCATGGAAAACATCAGTGCTGAATAGTGGGGTAAGACTTGCTCTCGTTCATCCCTTTGGAAAAGCAGGAACCACCCCCCCCAAGCGAGGAGTGATCAGAGAGTGAGGTCAGCTGGGATGGCTGATGGTTAATGGCAACAGTGGGGCCATTAACCTTTCATCTCAACCGGAACTAAGTTCAGGTGATAGAAAGGTAAGCAAGAGCACCAAATTTTGCAGGCACTGATGGAGTGATATTGTGTAACAAAATAATGTGAAATAATCAACCCTTCTGAATTGCTGCCAGAGAAGTGCTGAAAAGAAGAATGAGCAAGATTACCAAAAAAACAGGCAAGTAACCCCAGGACAGGGAGTCAAGAGGAAAGTAATCATAATATTAAGATATAATATGAAGAAATAAAAGCAGATATTTAGGTACGAGCTATTTTAAATTGTTAGTGATTAAAAGAACACTTAGTACTTAAGGACTTGTATTTTTATGAAAGCTGTAGTGGATTGTTGTGTTTTATTTTACAATTCAATGTTAAATCCATACACGTGCTAGTGAGTTAATAAGGAATTAACTTGCAGAAATTCACAGAGACATGACATTAACCTAATACTCCTGCTTCTCTCAGTTTCCCATCATATGGTGGCTTATTCACTGGGCCTAACGTGACAGGCACCGCTGTGCATCTGGTAGCGGCTCCAGTAAAAGGGAGATGATTTGCCCTCACTGTGCTATCCTTGCCCCTTGAAGCTGAATTACCAGACTTTAAAGGTCCCAACACATTAGAGCAATTATATTTGCTTAGAAGTCTTCTGCAGTGAGGACTGATATCTCAGTGCTAGTGATACTCAGCGTATATGGCCCCTGGTATATCACCTCGTTAAGCTTGTTGATATAATAAAAAGTCATGAAAAAATAAAACAATAACCCATATTTCCTTCTGCTCATCAATGGCATTTAATTCTAGGCTTATGGGCCAAGAAGAAAATCTTGGGTAATATATTTTTATACATACGAAAATAAAATGTACTGTGGCATTTAGAAAATGCAAATCGGAGCTACATTAAATCTGTACATTTCAAGGTCGTAGTCCTTTCCATTTAGTTCATGATATTTACAGTCACAACATCAAAAATTTCATTGACTCTTCCTGGTCACAGGCTAAAGCATATTATCATTATTATCTTACAGATAAGGGAACTAAAGCCCAAGGCTATTAAGTCACTTTCCCAAGGTTAATGGAATGTTCCAACATGCAGTACAACTTCCCTGTTAAATACTTCACAGGTATTTAACTTAGGGAAGTCACAAGGGGCAGGCAAGTTAAGGAAATATACAGCTTCAAGTAGCTTCACAGAAATACATGGATAATAAATTCCTAATGGACTACCAAGGGTAATTAAAGCATTTGGGGACCATTCCTGACCTTTCCGTTTGTCAGGGAAGACTAAACCTTTCTAAGATGGATCTCCTGGTACCACTCTCAAGATACAAGTGGACAAATAATGGACCCGATTCAATATGGCAATTCTTTGTTTCAAGCAAGTTAAAAAGCCTTTATCAAATAAATGTGTGTGGGCATCAGCCATATTCCATCTAAAGTGACCAGAATCACCTTAGATGACCCATCTGCAAACTCATCAGAATATTTACCCACCCTCACCTCCCTCCCTCCCTTTTGCCTTATTAAAACCTCACTCAATCAATCACAGCCTCTCCTTTGTATTCTTAATGTCTCCCTCTTTTCTGGCTCCTTCTAGTCAGTGGAAAGCATTATCCAACTAAAAAATGAAAATACAAACCAAACAAAGAAACCTCCCCCTTCTCCTCCTCTTGATCCTACACTTCCCTTCCTTTTCACAGCCTGGCTTCTTGAAAGGGGGTCAGTCTATCATGCTTATTCTACTTCCTCACCCATTCCCCATCCCACAACCGTCTGGCTACTGCCCTCACCATTCCCCAGAAATTAGCCTCCCAAAGTCACAAATGCCATCTCCTGGTGGCTTAATTCAATAGCCACTGTATGCTTCACCAGCTTATGTACTAAAATTGGAAAGATGTGGATAAGATCACCATGGTCTCTGGGAAAGAGTGACAAGCAAATGCATGCAGCATCTCATATTTTTATAGTAGGAACTCATTTTGTTATATATAGGCATCTACCTAAATACAGAATATATTTATTTACATACAGAAAAAGTCACAAAAGATATATCAATTTTTTTCTTTTTTTATTTAATTATTGTTCAAATAGTTTTCTGTCTTTTACTCCCATCCCAGCTCACCACCCCCAGTGCTCCCCACCTCCCTCCCATTTCTACCCGTTAGTTTTTGTCCATGTGTCCTTTACACTAGCTCCTGTGAATCCTTCCCCTTTTCCCCTGAAATTCCCTCCCCTCTCCCCTCTGGTCACTGTCAGCCTTGTTCTCTATTTCAGTGTCTTTGGTTATATTTTGCTTGCTTGTTTGTTTTATTGTTTAGGTTCCTGTTAAAGGTGAGATCATATGGCATTTGTCTTTCACCGCCTGGCTTATTTCACTCAGCATAATGCTTTCCAGTTCCATCCATGCTGTTGCAAAGGGTAGGAGCTCCTTCTTTCTTTCTGCTGCATAGAATTCCATTGTGTATATGTACCATAGTTTTTGGATCCATTCATTTACTGATATATCAAAAATTTAACAGTAGTTATGATGGGTGGTAGGATTTAGGTCAATTCTTAAATTATACTTAATTATATATGTATATATTTTCACCTCATTTATTTATATGTATGTATTCAACTTACCAGTACATAATGATCACATATTCCATATCTAAATACAAATAAATATATTACCTCAAAATATCCAGTAGCCCCTTTTCACTTACCTTATTTGACATCTCAGCACTATTTAACAATATTAACATTGTTCTATACCCTCGACTTTAAGGATATCACTCTCTCTTGGTCTTCCTTTACTGTCTTGAATCCTGTTCTTAGTCTTAATGGCATTCTCTTCTATACCCATTCTCCCTTGTCTCTTTCTGTTCTACACACAGTCTCTGGGCAGTCTCATTCATGTCAATGACTTACATTTATGCTGAAAACTCCCAAATCTGTTTCTCTAGCTCAGAGGCCCTGCCTCAAATCCAGCTTGCTATATACACCCATTAACAAGGTTTCTAAACACTTCAAATTACCAAGCTTGAAAATGAGCCCATCACCTTCACTCCAAATTGGTCCAACTCCTGTATTCCTAGGTCAGTGAATGGAACCACCACCTAAAGCCCTGTCAGAAATGTAGATGTCATTTCTTTTGTCCTTTTTCTTATATCCTACATCAAAAGGGTCATCAAAACATCAACCCTAATAAATTCTATTTCCAATATTTCAAAAAATTCCACTTTTTTTCTCTATCAACACTGCCTTAATCAAGGCTTTCATCATTTCCTCCTTAGATTATTGATATGGCTTCTTGACTGGTCATTCGCCTTCAGTCTCAGCCCCTCTATTTCCTCCTCTGTTCTACAGCCTTAGTGGGTTTTCCAAAATATGAATGTGACAATGTCACTCACTCTCTGCTAAAAATCTCTAATGACTGCCACCACTTAAGGATAAAACCGCGATGACATTTACTGTCCTCCAGGATGGACTTGTTGCTCAGAATTCATCCAACTTGCACCTGAAGTCTTAGTGAACTAATATCTATTCTTCAAACTTTCATATTCTCTGACACCTGCAAGCTTTTGCCCCTGTCACCCCACCAACAGGGAAGCTCCTTCCCTGTGCTCTGTACTTGACTTATTCCCAGTTGGCCTTCGGGACTCAGCTCAGGCATCATTTCCATCCTTGCTTTGACATTATATTGGACTTCCTTCCACTCTGTGCTATAAATCACACTCTATTTTATTGTTCATTCATTTGCCTCACTAGAATGTTGAGATCCTTGAGGTCAGGACCAGAAATTTAATATTTCTTGAATAAATACATAAGTATATGATTGGCATAAAATAGGCAGCCACTTCCCAGCTGAAATGATGTGAGAGAGATGTGAACCAAAGTCTCTTGAACAAATTTACCCACAAAATATTGCAGTGTCATTCTTCAACCGTCACTAGAGCAAATATAGGTGCATCGAAATGTACTTGTTCAACCCAATACTGACAGCTTACTGAGCTCAAAATTCAGAAAAAGCTCCAGGAAAAAAATTCAGAACTTGAATAAGAGCCATCAGCACTGACAAGCAGAAGCTTTTTTTTTTTGAGCAGGCACTTGGCTGCAGGCACGCCATGATGTAATGCAGGGAACACAGCACGCACAGTGGGAAAACCAGTTTCTGTTTATATCTGTACCTTTTATGAGCCTGAAAGAACCAGATGGACTTCTGTATTCCCTTTAGTACTAAAATAAGTAATTATAACATTTCAGTGTGGATGCTGTTCTACAGATTACTTTCAGTTTTTATAATACAAAACATGATAGACTACCCATGTATGATTACGTGAGAACTTAAGGGATTCCTTAAGGATTCCAAAGTAATTTCCATTAACCAAATTTAAATACTGTCTTTCACGGGCACTATTGGCTGCTCACAGGGAGGCACTGACAATGGCTCTGTACCAAAGAGAGATAACCTGGAATCAGTGGGTAGAACCCTGGCCCACACTCATCCGTCTCTTCTGACCAAAGACAGGAATGAAAGAAATGTTCCCATTAACTAGATGGGAAACAAAGGAAAATTATGGCCTCAGGTAGCATTGAAGACATAATTATATTTAATGAATAAAATTAATGTAAAAATACTATACTGAAAACACATCTTACTCCACTAACCCCTCAAAGCCTGCTGAACTTTCTCTTAAACACAATTTCAACTAATTCAAATATTGTGTATGTCCTTGGGTTTGGGTAAAAGCTAGATCCTTCTCCAGCCCAAGAAAGACAATCATAATTATTCTATGTCCATTTTGTGCAGTTCTACATAATGGGAATTTTCACCTTCGCATTTCTTTGTTCAAGTCTGCTTTTTTCCCAAATGAGATCTGACAACTCATCAGCTGAGGGGTTCTGGGAAAGTTTTTCCTGGAGGACAGACAGACATGTCACTCTCTCTGTGCACAACTGTAACTATACATGACACATACCAATAAGTGACAACAGGAGGAGATAATAACAACAGCATAGGACAACACATTAGAAAGAAGAAAGGCACTTGGTCTTTTATGACAATATTATATTCATTTAACCAAGACTGAAACCACCCTGGCTTTACCAATAGTACAGGAATACCTCAAAGACATTGAGGTTTCAAAGCAACTCATAACATTTTTGGTGGTGAAGGGTCTTGCTTTCAATTTGCAAAAAAAAAATGCAATACCTATCAAGTGCAATAAAACAAAGCATGCTTATAAATACAATTTGACATTACTTGTACCCCAAACCCTCCTAACCTAATACTATTAACTATTTTCAAATAGCATTCCTTGTGTAGAAATTGGTGAACTCGTGATACACTTAAGGGGGGGGTCAACAAACTACAGCCCCCAGGCTAAATTTGCCCACCTCTACCCTTGTCAAAACTGTATTATTGGAACACAGCCACTCTTTTTGTATTGACTATAGTTGTCTTCTTGCTACAATAGCAAATTTGAGTAGCTGGAATAGAAACTATATGGCCCACACCTGAAAATATTTAGTATATGGCCCTTTACGAAAAAGGTTGCCAGCCCCTACTCTTCACCAGTAGATCTTAACTGGGGGCTGTATCACTCAGATAATGTTTTCCAGGGCCCATTTTTAATGTCCCAGTCATTACGAAGTTCTACAGGGCCTGAGTTGTCTAATGTTGTACAGGATTACATTCCCACAATACAAAACATGCCCCACCCCAAATGCTAACAGTGATCCTGTTGAGAAACACTACTCATGCTCACTATAATGACCCTGACCTTAACCGTTTGCCATGTCTCAGGCCACATGAATTGATTTTTCCATTGCATCTGCCATCATGAGTTTGATAGATTTACCAGCATAAGTAAACAGCAAAATAGAAGCATACTAATGAATACACTAATAATCCTCATGAGGTATTTGTTGACCAATTAGAGAAAATATATTTACCATCCTTCTGAGGGATTTTTATCATTAGAATTTGGGGACTTGTGTGGATGTAAACACAACATTCTAAGTTTTATTCTAAAGTAAGTTGGCTTTGCACACTACTTTTACTGAAGCATATTTTATTTTAGACTCATGAGTTTTTAGGTGCTTTCTACTTTACAGAGTGGTTATAATTTCTTTTGAGTTACTTTTATGCTAAGCAGTATTTTATAAATTATAATAGTTATTCTAATTCCTATTTAACAAAGGAACCTTAAGATATTTTATTGGAAAGAACTAAATTAGCCTTACGTAGAGATCTAAATATGAAAGAAAACACACGCATCCAAAACTATTGTGACTATTTCACAATCAAGAAATATATACCCTTAGCTACATAGTCAGATGAAACATAAAAATCAAAGAGATTTAAAAATATGTGCATTACAATTCAAGGGATATAAAACAAATCTATCTTCAATGGAATACACCATATGTTCAAGAAATCATAATTCACCTAAAATTGTTACTTCAACCAAGGGATTACAAAACTAACAGCTAGAAAAACCTGCTGAGACACTGCTTCAGGTAAGACCAGATGGAGGAAGGAGTAAGTGGCTCAGAAAATGAACCATTTAAGAAAATAACCAACCAGCACTTCAACTTTCAGGTTCGAGCCAATTGTTTCTTTCCTACTTTGGAGACTATACAAGGCGATAAAAGGAAGGCATTATAATGGGTGCTGTGAACTTCCTAAGTCCTAAGTATTTTCCCAGTTTACTAAACCCTGTGGTGTTATTTGAGAGTTAGGATTTTTTTGTATATTTATAGAATAAAACTACCTAAAGCTCTTCTTAATTTTTCAAGAAAATAAAGTGTCACCATCTCCTCTATTATCTAAAATGACAGCACTATACTTACGAAAATGTTCACTATGTACCAACTCCCCTGGTTAAACAGCAAACATTGGTACTTCCTCAAAGACACACAGTGTTCTGTGATGCTGAGCAGTGGGGAAAATCATTTCAGCTTGGAGAGCAAGGATAA